GTGATGCGCCTGTGGTAGCTCAGTAGTGACAAGTAGAGACAGCTCCACACTGCTTGACAACCAGCCTGAAGGGAAAAGTGATGCCTTTTTTATTTCCACATAATACCCTAGAATTTGGATCATAAATGGCATTCAGGAGGAAAGCATATCGGCTCCTGTCAGACGAGGATGGTTCAAACCCCCTTCTGAGGTCAGGCACCACTGAGAGAGGCCTGGGTCCAGGCCGCGCAGAATCAGCATTGCCCTGACCCAGTTGAAAACATCAAGCTAGGAGCCAAGAAGAGGGGAGTCGTTTTATTTTTTAAACCCGAGACTCCATGAACGTATTAAATAATCACTAAATTGGCACCAGCCTCTGGCCTCTGGTACCAGGATTTCCAGGGGATGGCTCATCTTAATGCGCCCTGCGTGACATAGACCCTTGGACTTCCATGGGGTTCTTTCCTTGTCATGGTGCCCAGTGGTGGGTATGAGACCATCTCTTTGCTTAGTCAGAGGAACACAGGACCAAGCCTGAGAAGGACAGGGTTCCACATCTGGCCTTGCCACTGTTGCTGGCTGTGTGACCTTGATTGACTGTTCAACCTCTTTCCTTCTCTGAGAAATGGGACCATTTGCATTACTAATTACACCCTGAATATACATAGAATTCTGCTGGTTTATTTTCTGGAATATTTACCATGTGCTAGTCATTGTTCTAAGTAATTTATACTTCTTCACAGTAGCATTGTAAATCAGATGCTATTGTCTTCATTTAATAAACAAGGAAACCAAGGCTCAGAAAGGTTAAGTAACTTGCCTAGAGGCACACAGCAAATAACTGATCTTCAAAGTAAGAGATTGTAGTTTCCTGAGATCCAGAAAATGTCAAAGGAATGCCCTGCCAGTGGGAACAACTGTGGAAAGGAGCAGGCTATGGTGGTCTTTGGATTAGTGGGACTCAAAGCCTCCAGTAGCCCTTGGTCTCCTGGCCCCTTCCTCTTTTGCTTCACCCTCACAGTCCCTGATTTGGGGTTTTGGGTGTTTGGTTTGGTTTGGTTTTTCTTCCAGTCTCTTTCAGATTTGTTCCTTTCTGCCTCCACCATCCACTCTCATCCTGTCACCTGTATAGCCGTCACCATCCTCTGTCTATTTCCTGTTCACGTTGCAGTAACTTGCTGTCCCCTCTGTTGGATCCCTCGTGCGGTCGTCCTCCCTGACCCCGGGAGCAGGGCGCCTCTCCAGAGCCTTTGCAGTTCCTCTCTTGTTGCCGTGGAGGCCACGCTTCCCAGGGCCCCGCGGCGCCTGTGTAGTGGATGATCAGCTCAAATGTGAGCACGGAGGCTGGCGGGGGAGGCTTGTCCAGTGCTGGGGCCACAGCTTTGGGTTCTGACGACCTCCACTGATGGACTTGAGAGCCCCCAGCAGTCGGCCTAGGCCTTGCCAAGCAGCTCCCAGAGCCAGGTCTTCCCCAGCTTGGCTACCTGCCCATGCCGAGTCACTCCAGCCAGGGAGCGAGCCCATGTGACAGGCCAGACCACAGATGTCTCCACTGCCGGTCATTCAAAACACTGTCCGGTCTGGCCCCCAGTGCCCTCCGTGTGACCTTCCCCCATACACACCCCACTCAGCACCCAGAGGCTCGCTGTGCCCTGCCCTCGATCATGCTGCTCTGTCCCCAGGTTCTTTTGCCACCTGCCTCTCAGCAGCATGGCTGTCTTTCAAAGTGCAGCTAAAATATTCTTCTCTACAAAGCCTTCCTGTCTCCTGCCACTGAAGATAGGCTGTCCTTTCGGTGCTGGGCGAGCTTCACCTGCGGCCTTGCTTGCGTCTTGACTTGGCATCTTCAGCAGCGTTGCTTCTGCACTTTACCACAGTCCTCGCCACTCAGAGCTCTCCCTCGAGCTCGCATTTGCTCCCTCAGGCAGGGAAGGCTCTTCACTCCTGGGTCTGCAGCTCAGGATTTCTTGTGCACCTACTATGCCCCGGGATGTGCCTGGGCACTAGAGTTAGAAGCAGTAACACAGTGACCACCAGAAGCTTTGCTCTCTGGGTTTCACAAGAACAGCCCCACGGTCCCTCCCACCAGCCATCTGAGTTCCTAGAGCACGCCATGCTCTTGGTCACCTCTGGGCCTGGGAGGTGCTATTCCTCTCTGAAACATTTTCCTTTCCACTCCCACTTCCAAACCCTGCTTCTCTTTTAGGGTTTGACCATAGTGCCACCTTTTTTAGGGAGGCTTTCACTGACCACCCCCTGCCCCAAAATCTACAACAGCCATGCTGGTCTCTGAAGGTGCTCTCTGGCTGTTCTTGGTGGCACTCACCACGGTTGTAGGTATATTTTTCACAGATGTATTTGTCTAATGTCTCCTCCCAGCTGTGCAGTCGATGAGGCAAGAGATGGTGACTCCGGTACACGCGGGGCCTGGCACATGCCTGGCCCTGGGAGGCTTTGTCAGCCCCTTGACCTCTGTATCCTAGTCTGGAAGGATGCCGACAGGGTCTCCAAGGCAAGGTCCAAGCCAAGCCGAAAGGAACTTGAGTTTACAAATCAGGAACTGGCCATTCTAGTCACCGAAGTTCCAAGTTCCCCCTGGACAAAAGATTATGGTTCATATGGGGTCATGTGCGACCCAGAGAAGGGGGACTCTGGGGAGCACAGAGGAGCAGACCAAGCAGCACAGCTTATGGGCTGTCTCATGACACCCCAGGATCTTCTAGGGTGGGGATTTAGCATGATAATCAGCATGGACATGCGCTCTCTATTCCTGTTTAAACTGGATGAGGTTAGAGTGGCATCTATCCTGTTGGGCCTGTGTTTGTTAGGGTAAGCACATAAACCCACACAGAGGGTTGATGAAGCAGCAGTTACAAAATCACAAGAAATAGGTGTGATGACCTTAGGCTCTTGGGGCTCCTTCATCTTCTATTTGTTGAATGAATGAACAAACTCATGAATGAAAGCATCCGCCATTCACACAGCTTAGCAAGTGCCAAAGCAAAGGCTGAAACCCACTTTGTCTGAAGCCAAGGTCAGCGTGACGCTTTTTGTGTCCTCGCTGTGTCTGGGACCAGTCTCCCCTTACTAAGTTACATGATCACAGGGACTGAGAACCTGGTCCTTATTCTTTTTATGGTGAGTGCTGTTGAGTATGTGGGTATTTAGGCTATGAAGGGCAACCTGTGTTTGGGCGCTGGAAGGTGGAAATGAGAGACAGGCAAACTAGCGAGCAGAGTTCCAGGGTGATCCAGGAGGGCCCAGAAGATACCCAGGTGGAGACTCACAGCCTCTGGGACAGGATTCCTCTGTGTTTCTCCTTTGCTAGCAAAGCAATAAACCTTTTTCCTTTTTCTCAAAATTATGTCCTCCTTATTGTATTGGCACTGGGGACAAGGACTGAGCTTTCAGTAACAAATTTGGCACCCCAGATGGGACCCAAGAGCAGCCCCAGCTCCAACTTTCTTGGACAGGCCTGGCTCTCCGAGGAACCCTGTCCATGCTGAGGTTACCAGGTGCTGGAGAACTTGCTGAGAGCCAACTGCTGGAGAGTTAGGAGATCAAGGAGTTTGCCTCCAGTTGAACCAGAGAAGCTGTTCCTGCAAGTACAGGGAGGGACCGAGGGACTGTCCCAGCAGCTGCCAAAGCTCTTTTTGCTTCGGGGAACTCCCCCTTTCTCTCTCTGAATGATACGGTTTGCCCCATTGTGATCCACCTTGAGCAAAAGGAAACTGAACTCAGGAAGGTGGCAACACCCTTGGCCATCTGCATGATCCCTACCCTTTGTATGCCTTGTCCAGTCACCTGCCATCTGCCACTGTGGACCTCTGGACTGCTCTGGTACTGAATGCCCTTAGCTGTCATGCCACCTCCCCATCCAAGGTAGAAAACAAGGACTTTGGACCACTTCCCCCAACTCTGCCCTCTTTCAGCAGGAAGCAGCTTGGAGATGTTGTCACCCATTTTCCCACAGAAATGGAATGTGGAAATTAACTGTGCGGAAACTAACAGGGGTCCACTTTATGCTTTGAATATAGCCCTCGCTTCTCTGCCACTGCAACTTATTTTTTAAATAGACATGTTTCTATCTCTTCTTCTCTCTCTGCTCCTCCGAAGAAATGAAGGAATCCAGACTTCAGGGATAGCACCAGAAGATTTCACAAATGACTGTCTCCCAAATTCACAAGGGAATTACGACTCCAACAGAGAACACATGGAATGTAGCCTTTGAATCACCTCCTTTAAAAGCCTCCTGTTTCTGCTGATGGGCAGAATCACAGCCTCTGGGACAGGAGTTCCCTGAGTTTCTCCTTTGCTAGCAAAGCAATAAGCCTTCTTTTTAAAAAAAGCCCGTGTGTGGGGCCCAGAGGACAGCACTGATGTCTTAGTCAGTGAGAGGAGGACAGGGTGTGCGCATATCAGCCTGGAGAGAGCCTCCACCTCCACCTGACTCACACCTAAGACTGATACCTTGTTCCGCAGTTCTTGGAATAAACTTTCCATTGTGATAGATCGTGAAGAATTTCCATTTTTCTATTCCTATCCTATTAACTTGAGCACTTCCATTATACATGAAAACAACTTTTACTTCTTCTTTCTCAGGACAGGCTGCCTGTTACTATAGCAATATTGAAAACATTTGAGGTATTTTTATACAATGAGTTCTAAAACTCCCTGCCAACTGTACATGGTGTTTAGTAGAAATGGGCTATAATATCCAAAATTGTTTCTCTTGTTTCTCTGTATCCTTTGTTAAACTCTTGCAAGCTTTTAATTTAATTCTTAAAATGTTAAATCTTATTTTCAGGGAAGAAAATAATTGGGAGGAGTTGTTAAATATATTTGCCTATCAAACATTGAAAATAGTTCTGAAGTCATTTGAATTTTGTTGTAAATGTCATAAAGATATGATTGCTTCTTGGGATCTTCCAGGTTCTTTATTTGTTTCAGTTTGGTTTTAGTTTTCTTGTTTTCTTTTGGGAAATGGCATACAATCATTGATTCCCTCCATGTGTTTGCAGGGCCTGGACAGCTTCAAAGTGAAACAGAAATTCTTCTCTGGCAGCCGGGAGGCAACAGACTTTTTTCCAGTGCCCTATGATCTGCCCCCAGAACCGTACGGAAGTAAAGGTGAGACAGCTGAGGGGAACTCTGGGCAGGTGTATCATAGTAGAAACAGAGCCAGGCAGACACCATTGGTCCCTCAATGAAACCTGGTTCGTGGAACCCTCTGGAAGCTTAGGTTTACAGAGGCCCCTTTACTGCCCTGTGATCATTGGAGCCACAGTTCTCAAACTGTTTGGCCTTAGAACCCCTTTGTATTCTCATGAGTTTTAAGATTCACGGAAATCATTTATTTATATGGGATTTTGTATCTATTTCTGTTTATTGTATTAGGAATTTAAACAGGAACCTACAAATATTTATTCATTAGTTTTAAAATAATAAACATATTTGTATGATCATTTCCAAAATTAAAAGACAAAATCAGCAAGCAAAGTGGCATAGTTTAGTTAGTAGTTTTGCAGCCTCTTTGTGTTATAGCTAGAAGCCAGCTCCATTTCCACAGCTGCTCTGGGCTGTTGTGCAGTCACGTCAGTCGGCCTCTGCACATTTGTGGGCTCATGACAGCAAGAACCACATGCTGGCTTCATGCATCATGAAGATAATTTCTTACTTCAGAACCTCCCACCCCTCAAAGGGAGGTCCCCAGACCACACTTGAAAACTGCTACACCAGACTGTGACTTTCCTGAGGGTAGTGACCAAGTGTGTTTCACAATAGAAGGGCCATTGGCATATCCACAGCAGGCTCAGAAGTCCCCAGCCAGCCAGCAGGCTTGGTGCACCTTCTGTGTCTGCCCTGGGTGGACCCAGCCTTACAGGCTGTCCGGCCACTTCTGTCGGTCCTGAAAACGTCTGTGCTTAACACAGTGTCCAACCCAGAGCTAGTAGCCAATAAACAGTAGTCACCTTTAATATAATTGTTCTTACTGTAATATCTAGTTCTGTTCCTGGCACATGGGAGAAGTGATTTGGTGTGACTCCCCACTTGGGGAGCAATGATTTTTTTTTAATGTCTAAGGCTTGTCTGTGTCAGTCCCCTCCCCTTCTGGATTTCTTTATTCTTCAGGTTCCTTTTCCATAGTTTTTTTAACCCAAGGTCTCCTGAATAAACATAAGTAAGGTGATGGCTTGAAGGATTCTGACTTGGGTCTTGTTCCCCAACCCAGACCCTGTCTGGACTCCCCCACTTCCTTTAGTCCTGATCTCCAAAGGAAGAGGAAAAGCGAGTGTGGAAGCCATAGAAAGTCTTTAAAAAACGCCCTCACAAACCTTCCCCTCCAACAGAAAAAGCATTCCCCAGAACCCAGAAGCTGACCACAGGATGATAAATCTTTGATTTGCCCAGCAGGCAGAATGCTTTGCAATGTGTCACTGTCTTTTTTATTTCTTAGGCATTTTCTTTAAAGATACATACAATAGAAAGTGGAGCATTTTATTTTATGTCAGTGCTATTTTATCTCTTACACTGTGTTAGTAGCTTGTAGAATAATACCAGGAATTCAGACACCACCACTTCAAAAACAGCCTGCATTCAAGGAGCCATGTAGACTAAAGAACGGCATTTTACCAAGATGTAGAAAAGTGAGTGGTTAAGAACATTTCAAAAGCACTTCACTTTAAAAAGTGATTTTCAAACTGTTATGACACGTACAGGGTCTTGTTCGGGGCTTCTTAAAATCAAAACATGATTCAGAAAGCTTAGCAAAGACATCTACTGCTGCATAGTCCCACCAGATATCTTGAAACCAAGACAATGATCAAATGAAGTAAAGCAGAACCTAAGACCCAGCTACTGAGGTCCCTTGCTTTCTGTAGGAGCTTCTATTCATTTGTTCTCTCATGGGTACCTAGTGAGCACCTGCTGTGTGCCGACAGTCTGGGATGAATCAGTGAACCAGTTAGGCATGAGGTCTTGCTCTTATCATCTCCTGAAGTTATATGTAACTCCAAACCCATTTTGCCAGTGGGACTTAGTATTTTATTGAGATGACTTCTTATGAAGCAAAATCACCAGTTTTTTTAAATTAATACAAATTGGTTCCATATGTCCCATGTGTTGTGACCCTGAGCCTGAGGAGAAAGTGAAACAGATCAGTCCCCCACCTCTCCTGAGCTCCATTCCGTGGGCCACTGCTTTGTGTTCTTTCACTGATACTCTGCATTATCGTATATGTTACTGAGAAAATAAAATGAGGACAGCCTGCCTGAACCTAAACAATAAGTGCAAGTCCCACTTAAGAAGTAACTGAACATACAAAGCTTCAGAGGTGTTAGTTACATTCTGTTTGTGAATAGGTTATTGTATTTTCATTATTTGTTTTTTATTTATTTATTTATTTTTATTTTGTACTTGGGATTGAACCCAGGGCGCTTTACCATGGAGCTCCATACCTAGCCCTTTTTATTTTTTGAGACAGGGTCTTGCTAAATTGCTAAGGCTAGTCTCAAACTTGTGATCTTCCTTCATGAGTCTCCCTAGTCCCCAGGATTACAGGCATATGCCACCATGCCCAGCATTATTTGTTTTTAGAATATACCTGGCATATATATATGTGTGTATGTATGTGTATAAATATATTAAAATAATAAGTGTATATAATTTTTTATTTTACTGTTGTAATGTTTTTAATGCATGATAGTTATACATAATAGTGTAATTCATTTCTTTCACATTTTTTACAAAAATGCAGATATACAGAAAAGTTGCAAGAGTACAAACATTTTGTCACATTTGCATTCTTTCTCATACTTTACATTTTTCTGATCCATTTGAGTGTTGCAGACATGATAGCCCTTTTTCCCTAAATACTTCAGTGTGTATTCCTAAAAATAAAGTCATTTTCTTACATGACCACTTTACATTTATCAAGATTGGAAAGGTCCGTGGCATCTAGCAGTTCTGAACAAATATCACATCCACATGCATGAATATGCATGTAATATTTGCATATTAGGTTACAAGCCCATTTGTTCTCTTAAGGAACAATTTGAAAGGATTACTTAAAAGGGGCTTTTTCTAAGCCAGTGATTGTTAGTACTGATAGTGTAAAAGAGACAAGGGTCACAGCCACCCTCTTCTCCCCATAGCCATGTGTCTAGCTTTCCCTCCAGGTTTTGGGGGAGACCTGTCAGTGAGTGTGGAAATCGTTGCCCACAGCCCACAGGGGCAGACACATTGAAAAATCAGAACTGCAAGAGATATGCCAGATGGTGATCTCTGGGTCCTTGCCTGGTCCTCACTGACTAATTGAGGGGAAAAGGAGTAAATACAGTGATCTTGACATCACTGGCTCGTTAGTAAATGTCTGCATCTGAGATCCTGTATTACTGTGAAGAATCTCTCCAATAGCTGCTCATCTAGCAAGAAACAGGGTGTCTTCTACCTTGGGAATGAAGTTGATACTACCCCACTGAGCAATATATAGAAGAGGGGTATAGAATAGGAGTCCAGGCCCAGAAGATGCTGTTTGCAGTAGAGAGAGCCTAGGCTGGGGTAAAGATGGGGGAGTCAAGCCCAAGTCCATGGCCAAGTCGCTCAACCTTTAATGAAACAAATATGTCAAATGGAAAAGGCTGCCTTTCTCTAACAAGCTTGGTAAAGTTAACAAAAAAGGGATTGGTTTCATGCTTTCAAACCATCTCAAGGCCAAAGATAAGCAATAATGTTCTGATAATTTGTTGCCATCTTCAGAATTCTTGCCTGCGCATCCTGCTGGGTGCTGCTATGTGCACAATTGCTCTAAGATTATTCAACAGGAACAGCAAGGCTGCTGCAAGGAGAGGCTGGCAGAACCACTGTTTCCATGCTGTTTCTGAGAAGGGAAAGGATCCCTAGCAGGAGAGTTTGCAGAGCCAAGATGCTGCTTTAACGTGGCATCCTTCTTAGACCTGCAGCGAGCTCTCCAGCCCTGAAAAGTTTTTCTGTTAGTAATACTTGTCGAGACAATGAGACAGGATTTATTTTTAATCCTTGTGATGTATTTAGACCTTACCCATATTCTTATGGTTCTTTTGAATGGTTTAGCTCTCACAGGAACTATGTGTGGTAAAGATGATACTCTGAAGTGTTTTCAGTTTCTAAAATATCTGTTAAAAGGGAGAAAGAACAGTTCGCATTTATTGAGCACCTTCAACATGACTGAAACTTTACACATGCTCTCTTCACACTAATCCCTGGTGGTTGCTAATGTACTTGCCATTTCAGGGGAGAAACCTAAGGCCAAAACCCAGATGCCTTCACTAAGGGCTGAGAGGGAGGAAGGTGGGATTTGAACCTGGGTCCTGTGTGTTCCTTCCAGTGTTCATACCCACACCTGTTGCTTTTTCTCACATTGGTCTGCAGTCAGTCTTTCAGAAGTCTTCATGTCTCATTGATTATTAACATTTAATAAGAAAGCAAAAGCATTTCACAGTCAGGACTCTGGTCCTCTGGGGCCCGCTGAGAGCAGCAGTGTGGCCTGGGCTGTGCCAGCTCTTGCTTCCTGCAGCACCCTAAGGAGGAGAGGCGCAGCTGCCTGAGGTGGCCCCTACTGTGTGCCAGATACCACGTCTTACTTGCTATCTGGAATCATCTCATTTGTCTTATGACAGCACCGTGGTGTGGGTACAGATAAGGAAACTGGGGTTCAGACTGGCAAAGTAATTTGCTAGTGTGGCAAGGCAAGGTGGCAGGCCAGGATTCATCCTTGGGTGCTGCTCACCTCCCTTCCTATGCTCAGCTGACCCTGTGCCTTAACATGAACCTTTACGAAAACCACTGTCTGAACGGGGTATCCTCCAGTTGATTCAAAGACATTCTTCACAGTTTGGAGACCTGAGCACACAGTGATTTTACCCTATCAGGTGAGTGACTTTTCTGTGATCCTGTTCAAATAAATATTCTGTAATGTTTTGGTATTTTTTCCCAGATCGGCCATGGATTTGGAACATTCCTTATATCAAAGCACCAGATACACACGGGAACATGTGGGTGCCCTCCTGAGAATCTTAAAGCACTGTGAAATTGAGCATAAGATGTTGAGCCCCAAACCTTGGATATTCTTGTTCGTACTGGATGTGCATTTCCCTTAAAATCTGACTTGCATCCCTGCAAAACTCATGAAGGTTGCTCTTGTGAACTTGGATGTTGGTTATACTTTTAATGTTTATTGTCAGCATTCTCACTTTAAAAAAAAAGTGTTATTTTCTTATTTCACTTTTATATGTTTTGGAAAGAAAGCTATTAAACTTCACATGTTAAAAATATGTATGTGTGCTGATATGAAATTACCCCCCTACTGAAGAGGACTCAGCTCTCAAAAGTTGTGGCTTGACTGTGTTTTGTGATTCCACCCTCTCTCCATCTCCGAAGGTATCTTCAGCCAGCCTGGCTTTCCAGAGAAAGCAAGCCGTCCCTCACAGCCCCCTGTCTAGTCCAGATACCCACTCTGCAGCTCTCCGTGGGTTTCAGCCTTAGCTCCCCAAGCTTCTCATTGCCAGCGCCCTGCCTGCTGCCTCCCTGCTGCCTCCCTGCTTACAGACAGGTCACACTGGTAAGCCATTTGCTTACCCTTTCCCAAGCTAGAAGGGTATCTCTTCCATCCCCAGAAATTTCCAAAGACAGCTCATAGGATCATACAGAAGCATATAGGTATCTTATTTAGAAGAAATACTACAAGGGGACTGACTTTGGTGCCGTCCATTTACGTGTAAGGAAGCTAAGGCTGTGTCCGCTGGTCATACGGCTGGCTGGGGTCAGAACTGTGTCCTGCTTCTTGTGTGTCGGGATCTCCTAAGGCAATTTGGACTGTTTTATCCTGCTCAAGGCTGACTCCCCGCTGGTCACCAGCCTCTTCATCGCATAGTTTAGGGAAAAATTAAATGTTAGTTTTGGGGGGGGAAAAAAAGTCTAAATAGTCTTTCAAACTCTTTCTCAGAGGCCTAGGACTTTCCAAAGCTACCTTGAAAACTTGGGGTTGTGTGTGCTGAGCTAAAGCAGGAGGGTAGGAAGACGGGCCCTTTGAGGACCCTTCTCTCACAGAGAACTTCTGGTTTACAAACTGGAATTCTATAAAGGATATTATCTGGGACTTTTTTCTGCTAAAAAAAAAGCTATTGAATTGGTTAAGCAGTTCATTTCACGGGTAAGAAGACTAAGGCTTGTCTGAACCTACCCTCCGTATACTACAACATTCAAACCCTACACCAGATGAGCGCGCTGGGCATGGAGGAAATGGGGAGAGTCTGTGCTAGCAGCAGAAGCCAGCATAGTGGAGGGCAGGCCCTGAGGTTTGGTGGCTTCATCCTCAAGGGGGTGGGGGGGGGCGGGTGGGCAGAAACTTGGGTGACTTCACTACCAGGGTCCAGGCAGTGCCAGTCTGCTGGGGAGCTGGATGCAGCCAGTCAGAATGGTAGCCGTCCGCAGCTGGCCTTCATGGCCTTGTGGTCCACATAACAGTACAGGGAGGTGGACAGGCAGTCTGGGCCAGAGCGCAGAGCTGGAGTCAGGTGGGCCAGGATGGACTCCTAGCCCTGCCACTCACCAACCTGTTGCCTGGGCCAGGCCAACTCACATCTCTGTGCTTCAGCCCTCGGCTGTAAGACCAAGTCTGCACCACCCCACCCCCCACCCCCCACCCCCCACCCCCGCCCATGGAGGGTTACTTGAATCTTCCAGGAGATTGTGCAAAGTGCTTGTGCAGGACCGGAAGGGGCGAGGGGCAGCCCTGCTTCCGCTGTCATTCATTTCTCAGGACAGTCCTCATCCCTAACATTCCTGTCTCTACTTATCACAGATTGGTCCCCTGACCACCCTCCAGCCCCAGGGGGACCCTGGATGCCACCTGGACAGGTCATGTAGATGAGGCTGGGTGGAGAACTTCAAGGGCCATGCAGGATCAAAGAGTCTACTCTTGGTGGGTGTCCAGCAGTCCTATGGCCCTACCCATGAGCAGGGACTCAGGAGAGGCCAAGGCTAGGCTGGGCTGGGCTGGGCTGAGCAGAGCTGGACCAGCCAGGTAGGGCCAGCACTGCATGTTTTCTGGGCACAGTTGTAGCACACTTGGGAAATAATTCCCTGAGAATAGTCCCGAACATGTGGAACACAGAAGGTAAGAAGTCCAACCCATATGGTCCTCAATTTAACGGGACTGGCTAAACTACCTACAGTGCAGGGGGAAGTACCGCTGGACCAGGCTACTAATGCTTTTGGGGAAATCGCACCTCTGGTCTCAGGCTGCGTCTCAGCAACTCCTTCTCCCCACCTGAGGCCACCCTCCCTGCCCCCGTCTGCATGAAGCAGCATGGCCCCTTCTGTGCCTTTCCCTGCATCTGTGTGACGTGCCAAGGCAGGAGGTGCCTGGCTGAGCAAGGAGTTTTCCACATGGGGACTAAAGAAAGGAGGGCTTTGTGTCATGAAAAGGTGTTATCTTCTTCAGCCTTGCCTGACATTCTTTTGTGAAGATAGACATGTAGTCTAAAGTGTAGAGATGTCCACAGCAAATGACAAATTCCAACAGCAGGCTCAATGCTTGAGCACTGCAAAGACCCAAACACACTGAATGAGAGAATGGCCAAGCATGACACCTGGCAATCCACAGGAACTCACATGCCATTTTGGCAGGAGGATTTCATGTCCCCTGTTTCCCAGGAGTCCTCATGGGAAGGGAAGCCTGGTCACCACCAGCTGCTTGGAGTGAGTGAGATAGGGTTTTCAAATTATTTGTCAACATACTCCTGGGCAAAACCGCCTGTTTTTAACTGTAGTGTGATATAAAGCAGCCTTGAATTGCCCTGGTCTGGGCTGATTTTTTCGTATAACAGTATTTGTTACTATTGCCCAAGTTCTCCTTATACTTCAGTTCCTATATATAAGTGCTTTAAACTCGCATCACCATTGTTGGCCCGTTTGACAGATGAGAAAACCAAGGTTCAAGGGACTTAAATAACAGAAGGTCCCACCTTAAGCAGTGAAACCAAAGCTGCTGCCTTAGACATGCTCACAGTCTGCACCTCACCACCTGCAGAAGGAGCTTCATTTCTCTGGAATCTGGTACAATTTATATGATTTTCCTTAATAACAATCATTCAAGTAACATGACTTTTCAAATGACTATAGTTTACACATTAGACTCAGTATGCTTAAAATTAAAATCTTGAATTTTAGTCTTTTTCCGTGTGAAATTAAAAGTTTATTTTCTAGGGAAACTACTATTACTTGATCCCTTTTTTTTTTTTTTTTTTTTTTTAAGTTTTGGGACATTTGACGTTCTGTCATTGGAATTACAATTGTAACCCTTCCTGAAGAATTAAGGAAGAATCCTTGGGAAGGCTTGCTTCAGATTGATGAGTGCCTCAAAGATTTGGTTAGGCATTCTTTATTTACATTTATAAAGCTTAGCAATTATACTGATGGATTAGTGATGTTAATTATGACAATGTATGACAAAAAATCTGCACAGGAACTCAGTGACAGGAACAAAATAACTAGAGTGTAGAGTCAAATCTAAAATCCTACTGATGATATGCTAACCACATGTTCTGCATCGGTCAGATCCCATCATGATAAAACCTTTGGAAATTTTCCAAATTTAATAGCCCATTTTTGTCAAGAAATAACCAGGACTAAAGAGTGCCACAAGCTGCCCCATCTCCCATTACATTTCTCTCCACTAGTAACTTATGTGGCTGTTGTCATATAAAAGGACTCATACAAAAAAAAAAAAAAAAAGATGAAACAGATCAGAACAGGGGCTAGGTGCAGCCATTTGCTCCTGGGAAATGCCAGCCATGGTGTGACCAGGACCCAGTAGGGAGGCAGCTGACTGATAACTCTTAGGCCCAGTCAATGCCCACGGGTCCCTGAGCATTAACATTCACCAGCAGCAAATTCTGACCTGTTTGTGCCAGGAACTGTGCCACATGTTTACCCAATCTTCATAATAACCCTATCAAGGAGGCACTGTTACCCCATTTACAGATAGGAAACTAAGGAGATTATTTGTCCACAGTGGTACCGCTGACAAGGACAGAGGGCATAGCTCCAGAGCTGGGCTTTACTGCTGTGATGTCCAGGCAGCAAATGTGGCGACGTTCCCAACCGCAGCCCAGGAGCAGACTTCATGTACATGAAGTTCAACTAGATATAAGACCGGGTGAGCTTTCATCACTGCCACAGCCATTCACTGTTAGCATGACGGAATCAACTAGCAGCACATACAGTCGGCCACTAAATGTCCCATCAGTACACAGGACCAAGTGGCTGAATTATTCATGCCAGATCTTGCTGGCAAAGTAGGCACCTTTTGAGGTAGAGCAGAGCGGGCTGAAAACTTGGCACTCGTTTGTATGCTTTATTAAATTTGTTGACATAAGCCTATCATTTGTGTTGACTTGCTAGATCAAAGGTACAGAATGGGGGCTGGGGATGTGGCTCAAATGGTAGTGCACTCGCCTGGCATGCGCAGGGCGCTGGGTTCGCTCCTCAGCACCACATAAAAATAAAATAAAGATGTTGTGTCCACCGAAAACTAAAAAATAAATATTAAAAAACTCTCTCTCTCTTTAAAAAAAAAAGTACAGAATGGGATCAGTGGGTGTCAGAAGAAAAGGTGGCATAGAAGATGCTAGAGACTAGCAAGAGGCAAAAAGCAGCCCAGGAAATAAGGTACTGGGGTTCCATAAACAAAGATGTCTCACACAATAATGGGTGGTGAGCAAATGAGGGCGCTTGTGTTACAAGCCTTGGAACCATCCAAATCTGCACTGTGCAGAGGTCCAAGCGAGTCTGTCTCAAAGCAGAATAGCTGGCATATGCAAGCTCTCCTTTATTCTCTTTAGACCTTCAAGAAGCTCCACTGAAACCACAGTCAGACAATCTTTTGTTCACGTGTCTGAGACACTTGGTTCAGTCACCTGTTCCCTTGGTGGCAACGTTTGAACTGGAAGGCATCCAGAGGAAACTCCATTGGTAAGACACAAAAGAGAAGCTGGGCGAGGAAAGACAAAGGAGAAGTTGCCTCCACCCATTCACTCTGGGTCAGCATGATTATAGCTAACTTGATACCCACCACCATGCCAAGAAGCAGGTGACAGTATCTCCAGTTTTCAGGGGTGAGAATAAGGTTCAGAGTGACACAGCTAGGTCATGAACTAGATCTGTGCCTCATCTGTGGTGCTGGGTCTGTCCTGGTTAAGCCACTGCATGTCCCTGTCTGGGCCCAAAGATGCAGATGCCATTGTGTGGGCCCTGGATAATTATTTATTCATAGT